CCACATCCCCGTCTGCTACATGAGGCAGTGTATGTGTTCCTTTATCATAACGCTTTCCTTTTATTTGGAAAGTTCAGGTGGCGAATATTGTTGTACTTGTGACGTACTTGTGAACTTGGAGCTGACAGATACATTAGATTAGATTAAGAGCTGGCAGTTCTCACTATAATAGTTAAAAACTGAAAATTTCTGTCAAATTCATCGATTCTGAAAGGAGAATTTAGCGATTGAATTTCGGGCCTAGCCTCGATCATCATTACTAAAGTCTCGATTATCCACATTTTTGAATTAATCATCAGTGAGCGTTGAACAGCAGATCGGGTTCTAATCCAGTAAATATCGCAGGCTAGCGAGTTGATTATGATCTGGATAAGTTAATTGATGTCTTATTAATTTTTTAGATAACATTTCTGGGGCCTGTTTCACGAAGTTTTAACTAAGATAAAATCCAAATTTTAGTAATTTGATTGGATAATATTAGATTGATTTTAGTGCTTAGCCAATCAAAATTGAAGTATCTACTAAAATTGGATTTTATCTTTAGTTAAGATTTCGAGAAACAGGGCCTAGGCCTAAAGAAAGACCTGCAATTGGCAGATTTAGCTCTTACATAATCTATGTTTAACGTTTTGTCCAAATATTTGTGGATGATTAAGTCGCTCACTTGCTAACTTGTAGATCCCGGATTAGATACATGTGTTGGCCAAGAAAGTTCTTCGAGATTTGCCGTTCTGGGTAAGACGCTAGCTCGCTAGCCTGGAGGTCGGGTGTTCGATCCCTGCATTGGCCGAGAAAGTTCATCCAGATTTCCGGCGTGGTTCTCCCTTGTCAGTGATACAGGACGGAGGGGCTGACAAGGAAAGCTTTCTAGTCGTTCGGATGGGACGAAAAACCGAGGTCCCGTGTACACATTGGCGTGCACGTAAAAGGTCCCTTGGCATTTGGAATTCGATATAAGAGTAGGCCGTAGTGCCGCTGTCCGGGCAAAATTTCCCTCATAGCACACTGTATGGCGTATGCCCGTCTTCATTAGCCCAGGTTAGGAGCAGAAAAGTAGGACGTTAAACTCCATTTCATTTCATTTCAGCTCCTGGTAAGGAAAAGCGTAGGATCGTATGGATGTTATTAAAAAAAACGAGGTCTTTCCCTGACAGCAAAACTAAATTGTTTTATTTATTTACTGTGCAATGCTAGGAAAGGTATTGTTTCAAACATAAGAAAATATGAAGGAGACATATCCCCACTGTACTTCTATCAGTTGATACTTTTATAAGATCGCGTGTGCTATATTGCTAGCTTACAGATCTGTAATCCCCAATCAGTAAAATACGTGAAGAATGCAGTAAATAACAAAGACGATATATTTAAAATAATGTCAGCTGTTACATCGATTAAGATTTTTTCCGTAACGAATGTTGAAAACTCTAATTGAGATAAAGACTGTGGATTGTAAAAACACCAAGTTGGCAGGAAGAATGGCTTGTAAATTTAAAGTACCAGAGTGGGGGCCACGAGAATAAAACTGATTTAAAGGCCATGTCTGCAGTTGGGGGTCTAGTTACTGCCCCCTCACAATAACAGTATTAAAGTTTTACTTACGGTGCTGTTTCTATGAAACATGTAAATATGAGTTATTTGTTCGCTGTGGTAAATTTAGGTAAACGCCACGAATTATCACTGATATCTTGAACCACGGACCCGATCCCCCGTACCCCACTCTGACCTAAGTCTTCTGCCTCCCGCTACTGCTTGTCTGTGGTTTTAACCGGCCGGTAAAAAATATTTTCCTATTTGACTACAGGTACATCGGCTATGTTCACAAAAGAACGGCTGCGTGTAAGTTTTGTGACAAGCCATTTCAGCTTAGAGTTGTATAAATTATTTAACGGGTTTGTTACAATTTACTTACTTTGTACTTTTGATATTTAGATGAGCCGAAGTTTATCTAGGAAACTGCCTGTAACGGTATATGTAATTTAGGGCATGCGACAAAATTATCCAATGCATGGAGGAGAAGCAAATATTTAATATTAAAAGTAAACATTTACTATTTTATCGTTGCAATGTTAAGTTCAGACTTCTCAAAGGTAAATATAACGCAAGAGGAAACTAATTACCATTAGTGAAATGGTTTTAATAATGAAAATCCCATAGCCAACGTCGCTTTAATGTAGTATATTTACTCAGGTGAAGGAGAGACAAAAATAAAACAAAAGTAGATGAGATATAAGTAAATGAACAAGCATTAGGCCAATATGCTTAACAGTCCATAGTATTTAATGAATTCATTCCAAGCAAAAAAACTATTGATTTTAAGTGAAAAAAGAAAGAAGAAACATATAACAGATACAGGAAACAAAAGCATAGAGAACGATCTAAACACTCTACAAATTCACTTGCCATATATAGACTACCAATCAAAATGTTAGATCCCAATAGTAGGAAAATACCTGGCTCTCGGGTTCTCTTCCGGTGTTAGCTGAGAAAGTGGTTCCCTCTGTCAGTGTCAAACGGATGGAACGAAAAAGCAAGGTCCCTTGTGCACAAAAACAGTTGAAATTCGAGGAAAATTCCCTCCTGGCATACTGTTTGACTTATTTACGCGTCATTAGCCTAGTCGAGGCAGACAAGTAGGACCTTTTGGGCAGTACTACAGAAGAAAGACAACAATAAGTAATTCCGTCAAACAAGAAGCCCCCCTCTCTCTCTCTCTCTCTCTCTCTCTCCACATCCACATATATGCTACATTTACGTATCAGATATACCTATTGTCAGTTCCTTGTAATTAAAGATCATTAAAGGTAGGCTATTGTCGGCTTGTTTCTCTCTAATGAAGTCTTGTCTGAGTAGCCTCATTAGTACGAGTTGTGATCGACTTTTTACAATGATCTTTGGTCTAGCCAGAAGAAGGGTCCAGTCTTTCAATTATTTCTGAACTAATTTTTAAAATCAATGACTCAGCTATAGATTAGGTCAATGGTTCTTATAGAAATTTAGAGAATAAATAAATGAAGTGGTCGATATTTAATTAACATTCTAACCAATATTCCTGTGTTTAACCATTCAAAAAGATTCATGTGATAATAGCGCCTGACCTGCATCCGGCAAACCATTCTTACAACATCCGAGAGATCTGGCATTTATCTGGTTTAAACTCAATTTTTTGTCACCGATTTGTCTCCGGAGCGGAATATTATACCATACGGCAATTCTGGATATATACATAATAGACAATGCCCATCCCAGAAACCCGTCACGACAAAATTTATAACCTTGCAGGTTATAGTAGTTATTTGTTATAATTTAAATCTTGAATATTTAAGATAATACATTATCAATTTTAAAAGTGAAAGCCTTCAAATTGAATTTATTTAAACCCTAGGGACAATAACTATTATATTCTTTTAAATCATTAATTGTGTGTGTGCTATTACAAAGGTGACTAGCCAATGATCGAATGTTATGTAATGCTAATGAGATGCTAATTTATTATAATCCCTTATTGTTTATGAAACTTATATAGATAGAAAGTAACTGCGAATATGGTCTGTCTCGTGTATATGTCATTCGTATGATTAGTATGCTAGGTCTATCCGACTTTGTAGCATTAGGTACTAGTCGGTTATCCGCGGTCCTGTAAGTGTATGTAGATAATTGTTATTATAAGTTTCCAGTATTAAAGAATTTAAGATCCATTCCAGACTCTTTTAATATCTGACAGGCGTCACTGACGATCAATCATCGGCCTTTATCGTTACACGTTACATGACTTTGTGTGTATTACTTGCGGAGCCACGTGGACTCAGTTTACTAACCAGTAAGTATTGAGTTCGATCCATGTGTTGGTTACCCCTTGCCAGCTGTGTAGGACCGGCGGCCTGCTAAAAACAGTATCTAGTGCCGTATGCACATAAAAGATAGGGATTAGGCAGAAACGCCGCTGTCCGGGCGTAGCTGTCCTAATAACAAACTACATGGTGAATGTCCCTCTTCAATAGTCCCTTTGATGTGGAAAGGTAGAACGTTAAACCCCGGTACATGTTATGTATTACATGCACTAAATCCCGCAAAATGCACCACAGTGATACGCTACACCAGCTAATCATCGTTATCTTATGTACCATGAGCACGACTATAAGGTGTCGCATGATTATTAAAAGTGGCTATTTCCCCACCCCGCCATTTGCGAACCCCGTTTTCTAATATTTCCGTCAATGAAACTGCATGATCTTTATTGGCCAATCAAAATGTATTTTTATGTATCTGTACGCATATGATTGTCGAGGTACGTATTACCATTGAACTAACTCTACACAGGAATTAACTAAAGTTTTAAAACGCCTCGGTCCCGGTGCACACACGTGTATCAATCCTCGTGAAAATGGCATACTATTATGGAAGGGTATCGCTGCCAATATTAAATGCTCTGCTACGATGTCTTTTCTATTGATTATATGTAAAAAGTACAATGTACAAAGTCCTAATACCTGTAATGATAAAGTCAAAATAAATATAAGGCAAGAGTTAAATGTAAAACGTCAAATGTTAAGTGTTAAATGACAATTAATGTTTTGTGGGAAAATGCTTTTTTTGACGCGTCTACATTTTACATTTACCTTTCCATATATTTTAAATATTTCTCTCAGATGTTATTTGTGGCTGTAGTTTTATTGTGACGAAAGGTGATCATCGAGTCGCCATCGTGTAAAAATGATCCAGTGGAATGGACAACGATGATGGGATTGGTCACCGAATAGATAGTCCCGAACTTGATTGCCCTGAGAGCGCTTTTGATTTGCAACAAATACACCATGACTAGGAAAGCAGAAGTAAAATAAAGGATACCAGTCGCGTTATCCGGTGTTACATTAAAGCGTCCACTGCCTCGTGCACGTCATCCATAACTTATAGTACTAACATGCAAATGGGGCGATGGTTTGTGCGTTTTTACAAGTCGAAGCTTCGTAATAAAATAATCGTTATGTTATATTTGATATTTTTATTGCAAGATATACTCTTTTTACATCGACTGTACATTGTACATATATTATAGACAATCAGAAATATACAAAACATTATGTTATGGAGTTAGACACACACACCATACTTATATTTACAAATATATATATATATACTCGATTAAATAAATTCGGATTAAGTGAAGGGCTTTTCAGTATGTTTATTCAAAATATTTAGACAAATATATTAATCTTTAATTCGGTTGGGCTAATACAAAATGTTAATTGAAAAGAAAACCAACATTATTAATCAACTAAAGGTATAGGGCTATAATCGAGTTAACTACGTCGATTCTACAGACCAGACCAAGTATTCTTCGAAATATACCAGTCCCTTGAATTTATCGAAATCGACATAATGGGATCTGACTGTATCTTTTTTAAAAAATAGTGAACCGAAGATATTAATGTTTATACAATTGCCTAATACAAAATATTAATGAAGAAACAATATTTTAATATTTATAAATCGAGCTTAGAGTTTCCAATGTTTATTCGATATTTGCAATGTTAGTGGACTAAAAATCCTGGAAATATCTTTATATCGAAGGATTCCTTCCTAGGAACAGCAACCAATGTATAATAATCATACACTCAATCTCTGCATCTTCTTTTTTTTAAAACTGGGACTTTCAAATAACCAGTTTGACATTTAAATTGAGGATATATTTGGCAAAAATGCCAAGCATTATTTAAGATACCAGACATGATAATTTCAGGATCCAACCCGACATTAAATTAACAGCTTTGGCTTATACTTAAATAAACATAGCTACGTCACAGTCTTGTCTGTCTTTAATTTAAAGTGAAGTTTTCTTTTTGTAAAAAGTCTAACATGTAATTCTGTTTAAAATGCGTGTAGCTATTTCATGAACATTTTCTTTTAAAATGTTACAATTATTTTTGATCAAAAATGAACATTGTAATGTTTCTAGACTAAACTAATTACCATTAATTAACATTTTTGGAAAAAAAAAACCTTTAAAGGAAAAGACGACCTTTGACTTGGGTCAAAATATAGTGCTTGATCTGGTGTGTTAAAAGACTCGTTGGAACTTATTATTATCTGAAGAAGTAAGATACATATTAATAATAAAAATGAAAATATTTTCCATTATTCATGTTTAACAATATACATATACCTGTAAAACATCATATATACGTATTATCCATACATAGTTCTTAGCACAAAATAAAAAATATACATCTTTACAATATTGTCTTACTTAGAAAGAAAAAAATAACCAGAACGCATTTTGAAAATTTTTCCTGGTTCCGTTATCAGGTCAATTTTGTGTCATTTCCTGCATCTATTACATGTTAAAATACTTACAAAAAGTTGATATTCAATTCCGAAAATTAAATACAGCACAACAGGAATGCTGACTTAAAGTTTTTCCTTGGAACCGCATGCATATCTATTTAATAAAGGGAAAATACAATCTGAATTGTTCAATAACATCCTAATCTGTACTCTTGTAACAGGTTAGACTAAAATCCTGATCATTTTAATGCTTAAAGAGATTAGGGTTTATTCAATCGTAACACACATGCTAAAAGACAATTCCAAATGCATTCCTTGTTTTTCTTTCTGTATTTTACTATCCTCAATAGAAAGTCAATTTATTTATTATGATATTTACATGGCTATATAAATGAAATAAATAAAAACAAAGTAACAAGTTTATAAAACAATAATTAATATAACTATTCATTGTTTATTAGTTCACACACCATAAATATTATCTTATTATGTTTAAATACGAAAGTGGGACATGCTTCGATATTATTTTACTGTAAGTTAAGCAAATTTCAATATAAAAAGAATTCTTATAACACAACATACTCGCACGGAATTATTTAAGAAATCCCTGTTCAACGCATTTTGTAATTTCAGATTTCTTTCACGTCTATTTTAGCGCGATCTTGAATTAATTCTTAAAATACAAAATGCATTTTGGGACTAACACTGTAAATTGTAAAGGAAGAGAGGGACCACAACAGAGCCGAACACTGATTTACATAACTGGTTATTTGATAGGATCAGTTTTGCTGCTGAAACATGTCTGGTTTCAATTTAAAGAGATGTCAATAAGAAAATGTTGCTAGATATTGCTGGATTCTGCTTTATCATTTGATGAATCTTGAGCGGCAGAATTATGCACATAAGATGATTCACAATACCACGCCCAATAATATATTAAATTATATTTATATGTATATCTCAATATCATATATTTAAACGAATTTTACAATATAGAAACTTGCCGTGGGATATAGACGTCTTTTGTAATGTTTAGTCTTTAAACAGGTATAGAAAATACCCTAGAAATATGTAACAGGATAATTATTTGCCCTACCAGAAAGGTTCAAGTGGCCACCTTTCTTTTCTCTGCTGAATGCTAATTATTCCCAAGCAGCGTAATGCTGAAAGTTTTTTAAAAGACCGTTTTGTCAAATCATTATTTTCAATGTTCAACTATTTTTCTATTGTTTCTAGTATCGTAGACCATTGACTGTCACTTTTTTTCACAAAACTTAAACTAAACAAATCAATATAAAACTTAGTGTTTTCGTTTTCCATGGGATTGTTATTCAAGATGTCTGTTTCATAATTTGCTGTGTGACTATAGGTGTGTTCAAAAACATCCCGGGGCTTAGTCACGAAAACTTAAACTAAAATATCTTAATTTATAGACAGCCTTTTCATTTGGCCTAAAGCTCAAATATGCACTAGGATTTAACACACTGCCAATGAAAATGTCGTAACCTTCGAATCTCCTAGCTTAAGTTTTCGTAAATAAAGTCCCTGACCTCTAATTATGGAAACGTAACCTCGATTATCTGGTGGATATTTCCGGTGGTAAAACTACATTTAAACCGGTAAAAGTAAACACAATCCGCCTACTGACCGTATCTGGCTTCCAAAAAGTAGAGGGCAATATGACATGGGATGTTGAAAGTGTTTAATGGTGCAGTAAAATTATAAAATACTAATGTTATGTATTTATAGCTAGTCGTGCAGGAAGCTATTTACAATTTATACCAAATATATCAAAGGCACCAAACATAATTATCAACACATGAATATGGTATACTGGGTGGAGACGGCGTGGGGTTGGTGACGAAGATGCTCGTTAGATGGCGCCATGTAAGTTTATTATGAAGATATAGATACTGTAGGCCTACCCAGTGTCATAATATATGACTCTGGCTGTGCCTAACAAACAGACATTTTGGGCAATCATAGACTAAAAATTAAAGGGTATCATAAGCCTATTACTTTTTTTTAGCATTGACAAGTCTTCAGATAAAGATATAACATTAGCCTTTCTTGGATCTGTAATAATTTTAAACATTTCTGACCTGATGTCACCAACAACCCCACACTGCTCCTGCCATTTTGAATTAATATTGGGACTTGTTGATGAGCTATTTATTTAAACGTTGTTTCAGAAAAAATAGGGAACACTATTATCTTATTTTAGAAAACACACTGGTTAATTACCCACCGATAAATGATAACACAACAAAATATAAAGACAAAACAATACTGTAGATAATATTATTATTATTAAATGTATAATGTAGTTACTTCTGGCTAAACCGACATTATTGTATGGTAATAAGAAAATAATAAATTAATTAAAATATAACCACGGAATTTACCACTTTAGCTACGTATATGATTATTAGTTAATACTAATATTTTGTAATTCTACAATACGGAGTGTAATGATGACTTTAGTAAAAATTGAAGCAATAGACTGAGATTTTCCCCAGAAATGTCGGTACAGCCAGATCTAATTTTCTCAATATGTAAAACGCAACACAACAATACAATTTATAATCAATACTTTAAAATTCATGCATTATATGCACAAACTTGGCTCGGTAGTATAAAATGATAAAATACTTCAAAGACCCATCTGACAAGCGAGGGACACATGTTACTTCCGGTTCACGTAACATACGTTGTATTTAGAACACAATACGTCACATCACATTACGTTACGTGTTCTATACAGACATCGGCCTCCATCTCGTTTTATGTTATTTATTATCAATTTGTACAAACACGCACTCTAGTATTTTCAGTTTTAACAATATAAATTCTCTAATAACAGTCAACATAGTATAAACGTCTGGATACACAAACTTGTCTTCTTTAAACTTCACTTCCGGTTCACTTAAAACCAATGATCTAGTCTTTATTAACCAAATTCTATTCGATGTGACAGACCAACTCACACTAAAAATCATCCGTTATTCAACACCACCCTACATTACTGTAATCACGTGACATCACAATCGCGTGATCATAATAGTTTCGGATTTCCTTCACAACACTTTTACAATAGGCGGTTTCATCCAGTCTTAGCCCATATAGGAATGTATGTACACAGGACGATAGTAAATTCAAGGGCGTTCACTCACATGGATTTTAAATTTTGTTTTTCAAATAAGATAATAGAAGAATTATGTAACTATTATGATATACCTTGAGCACTTTATATAATTAATAATACTTCGTATCACCTGTTCAAGAACATGAGTGTTAATATTAAAGTTAAACTTAGTGACCAGCTCCACCTAACGGCAGCTACATTGTTTATAATTTTACGGTTATCTTTACGTGTCTGTATGCTCTTTATAAGCGTACTCTTCACAACGGCGCCCTCTGTACTTTCTGTACTTTTATAAACTATTTCTTCTACTTGACATTGTTCTAAAATTAAAAACAAACATACAATATAAAAAATAATAGTAATAATACATGCATACATGAATGGATACTTCAAAGACTGAGATCTCATTATAATTGCAATTTCATTTCTAAAGTGCTTCATTATAACACAAGTTATTTCTTAGCGTTGTTCAAGACTATTTACACATCGCTACACACGTGACTCAATGGATATGATTGTCTACTTTAAACAAATGAGTCTTTAGTATAGATGTAAATGGATTTACATGTTCTCTGTTTTCTCTTACTAATTCATTCCAACGTGTTGCATCCTATATGGAAATCGTAAATTTCCACAAAAATAACGTAACCAAATCATCGGTACGATATATTTGTTGCCAAGTAAGTAAAGCTCAGCATCCATTCTACAAATTTTAAGGTAGCCGCCATTATGTAGTAATTGTACCTTGATGAATGGATGGCCGCGGCTTTTATCGGACCGGGTGGGAGGAATCAACACTGCGACACAGTGTAATATTTACCTTGTTTAATTTATCATGCAGTTTAAGTCTAAAATGTTATTTTCTTGGTCATTACTTATATTGTAGTTTCACGTGTGGGTCTAAAATGTTATATTTCTTGGTCATTACTTATATTGTAGTTTTACGTGTGGGTCTACAATTATGCATGTTGTTGTTTATTTAAATACAGATTTATTAATAAGAAAATGTGAGAGCTTTTCTTGTTTTATTTACACCATGACATTCTTACTATATTTTATAACTACACCAGCATATTAAATATGTGTATAGAATACAGAGAGTTAACGTACCTGCTGGTGACGTAATAATATAATTTATAGATTTATTCATTATTCTCAGTTTCCCACCACCACACTCTTCTTCGGCTTGTATTAGGAATCCTTCCGTTGATTTCTTTAATACCTGTAGAAAGAGAGAAAGATACAGGTGTGATATAGTTGAACCCAGAGGTAATAACATAATTACGGTATATCAACGTTCCGGTGTCATAAAACATTTTTGCTCAACGGAAGTTTTACTCAAACTTCAATCCCTTGCCTACATGCTAACGATGATAGTGGACTACGACATCAAAACTATTATACATACTTTCTTATGGAATATTACATTTACACAATCCAGGCTGTATTCTTTGAATGACATTTAGTAATTGGAACATAATCAAAAATACACTTTCATGGATAACAATTTCTATGGTTTATTTCACAGCGACGTTTCAACAAGCTTTCACAAGTCGTTATCAAGCATATACACAAATAGATGCTTGAAAACGACTTGTGAAACCTTGTTGAAACGTCGCGTTGAAATAAACCATAGTAATTGTTATCCATAAAAGTGTGTTTTGATTCTGAATATCTAGGCTGATACGCGATCCAAAGAGACAAAGAACTATTTACACCCACACTAAGTTTTACTCAATTTTCAATCGATACTTTCTAACGCCAACACTGAATTAACGAATTGGGCACATTATATCCAGTACCTGGGCCAGGACTAGGGTCAGATCATTTTGGTGAATATAAAAGTCATAGTTTGCAGAAAATGTTATGACATATTTCTTATAGCAGGAAACAAAAAAGAGAGTATGTTCTTCTATATTGTTTGCTCTTTCTATGTTGTGCTGTGCTGTTATCCTTGATTGTATATTTAAGACTAACGAAACATTTGTTTCCAACCAAGCTAGAACCAGTAGCAGATAACAATGACATAGATCGCCATCTTGGGTGGCTGTTTCCATTTGTTTACATGTTCTAAAGATGTTTTTGCCTATAAAATAATATACACGTAAACTGATAAACGGAACATGTTAACATCTGCTGCAACATGAACAATCATGTCAAATCTTGAAATTTTCTCTTCTAAACAGCATAATAAACATTAATATTACTCCATCTGTGAATTCTATATCTAAACAATCGTGAGGAAACTATTCCCAGTTCACATTCTTCTTCGACAAAGCGCCATACGTAAAATTTGCTTATAGGTAAATCGAACATTTTTACAATACAAATCTATTGAATTTATGTGTGCGTAATTTTACATACGCATTATGAAACGGACCCCAGTGTTATTAATATGCCAGGCCAGCAACTATTACTTTGATTCACCTGGCCATGGTCACCTCGGAACCATCTTGCTTAACTGTCTCAGATATGCTACAAATCGTCCTAGCGCCTAAAGATTACCCTCTATTCAAATTTGAAAACGTTCTGATATTTCACCATGTTACTAATCAATATCTTCTCTCTGTGCTCGGTATAGCTCGTTTAAACATACAAAGATCTAAAAACAAAACACATTTGATAAGAACTTACCAAACAGTCAGTCTGGCGTAAATCACCCGGTCTACCGGCTATAGTAAACATTGATTCTCGAACAGTCCAGTTATAGTAACACTGTAAAATTTCCACTGCAAAAGAAAATCACGAAATTATAAATTGATGCATCGACAAAAATGAAATGAAATGAGGTTTAACGTCATAGTCTTCCGCACCAATCGGGCTAAAGCGGACGGGAATACGCCAAGCGGTTCTTCACGGATTTCCAACTGTCAAGGGTTATTCTACACGACTGGACCTCGTTTTCGGGCCATGGGCCCCGTCCTGCCCCACTGACAAGGCGAAACCAGACAGGAATATTCCGAGGAACTTTCTCGTCCAACACCGGGATCTCAGACCACATATGGTAGATTCGATAGACATTTAAGTTTAGAAAGTAGAGGGTGTTTTTATTTTATTTAAGAATACATGATTAATAAAACGTTCGTTGTATTTGTTACATATTTCGAAAACAATATCATGTTTTTTTAATATTTCACATCAAATGGTAAGTATTGTAACTATAAAAATCTGACATTTCTTTTATAAACGCGCGTAGGAAATCATTTGCTGTATGTAAATTATAAATGAAGATCAAACATTCCTGTCTCTCTATATATAAGAAACATACCTTAACGTGTCGCTCATCTGCACGTAATCTCCCAGCGTTTGTATAAGATTTTTCTTAAAATGAAATGACATTAATGGGGATATGTAATGCTCCGCTATTCTAACCTGGACATGTTAAAATTTCATGCTAATGGCTGGGACTTGAGCGGATCAAATACGAGCCAGGGGATGTCTTTTGAAATATCTAAGAATACTTTTTCTCGTGAACATTGGAATGCTACGAACCACGCATTATTACACTGATTTCTTACTTTTCGAAATAATTTTTCGTGTAAAAAACACTATTATACTATCTGATATATTTATGGAAACCATATCAGAATACCCATTAGGATAGCACTATATATTACATTTTTTATAATAGGCTCGTAAATAGCTTCAAATAAGCTCAAGTGGGCGAGATATTTGTTGTTTAGTGTTGTCAATTAACCCCCCACTGATTTAAATTCGCCACAATACCATCTCCTTATCACTTTTATACTGTTTTGTCCGTGCAACAAAGTAGGACGTTAAACCTCGTTCATTTCGTTTTATAGTGTTGGGGTTTTTAAGCAAGTTGTGACTGCATGAACATGGGGTTGGCTCACTAACCAGGTCACAGACTGTCCGCGAAAGTTCCTTGGGTTTTCCAACACAGTTTTCCAGTGGCACAGGATGGCGAGCTTGGCAAGCAAAAAGCGTGTAGTCGTTGAGATTGAACGTAACTCGTGCAAACGAATCAGTTTTTTTTTATATTAAAAGCATTTATTGGCGGACACCCTATGCTCGGTAGCGAAAACAGAATTGTTAGCTCATAACTGTAAGGGTTCAATAAAGAGAATTCAAATGACCCTTTCATTTGAAGATGTTATCAACAATGCTGTAACCCATCGTTCATACCTTTGGGATTATCACACGCCAATACAGAAACGTATTATCTTATGTGTTTGTGTCTGGATATTTAGGATATGTATATGAGTTTAAGGATGTGGTGTGGTGAACATATGTTATATAAAAGGTTATATCAATTGTTAAACATATCATTTTAAACACATCTATCATCGCCACCTTCAAACAACTTTAACCTTAGTCTTAAAGATACGTATCTTACACATACTCATCGCCGCCTTCAAACATCTTTAACCCTACTAGTCTTTAAGATACGTATCTACAAACTCTCATCGCTATCTTGTAACAACTTAAACCCTTGTGTTTTACCGATATACGTATCTTGTTTATACTAAATACCCATGTCAAAAAGGTTTCGGTCGTGTTAAAACCAGGAATCAAATATTTTGCAAGACACACCCTAATTTCATGATATATGGAATTCATTAGGGCAATATAGAGCACGTGCTACATTAGATAATGGAAATATTTATGAAAAAATAAACGCGTTTGCCATTACATCGTGCAATAAAAAAGGGAATATTATTATACGCAAAATCCTAATTAAAATATTAGCTTTGTGAACTATCCACATTTGAGAAGTGGTATTAGGTGTTATTGAAACAGTAAGCATATCCTGCCAGTCGTACGAAACTACAAATGATAAACCGTCGGCGCTATTCATAATATAATTATACACCTTTATCACAGCGACCTAACACGAGTATATGTTGACCCTTGGGTGTAAATCTGTAGAATATAAGTAACGATATATACATTGCAAAAGATCGTATGTATGTATACGATTTACCTTCCTCTATTATAAAACCATTGACTATAAGATGTACGGTTGTTGTCAGGTTTCATATAGATTTATAGTGAAAGGAAGTGTGGTGATGAATTGCTTACAGTTCTTTAGATAGAAGACCACACGCACCGGATCCCACTGATAGCCAAAGTTACAAACTTATGATAATAATCATTATCTGCAAATTTTAACTTAAAATTCATGTCGGTGTAATTATGTTAAATTCCAAAACAACACATTACTTCGAAGAATGCTCATTGTACATCATTTGAAGGTATTGAATTTCGATATATCTTGTAGTTGAATGCATTTGGTAATCGCACTGGTGAATGTGCAACTGTATGGACGAGTTAGTTAAGTAATAGACGAAACCATTAACCAATGGACCAATAAGTAAACCAGTAGAAGAACCATTTGACGAACCGTTACACCAGCGGGCGAATCAGTTAATCACTGGATGAATTCGTCAAACATTTTTTAATAGGCGAACCAGGATACAACGTACAAAGAGTAAAACAATGTGTTTTACAAATGGGTGTGAAATTGTGATTGATCTTTAAAGTTACAATTTCATATTTTTTAAGGTCAAAACATAATTATTTCTATGTCTTTTGCTCAATAGGTTGTCAACTCACTATTATACGATCATAGGTGTCATTCTCACACTTAAAACTCATTTACACCGGAAATAATAACACAATTACCTCCCAATTACCTCCCTTGTTTTCTATTCTCCACCATGGAGTAGCTTTTTTCAAACGTTTGAATTTGAAGAGGAAAATGATATTTTTGCCAATTTCTCAACTGACAATAGTGAATTATAGGATTTATAGGATTATTCTTTAACAAGGTAGGACTGTTTATAGATAACATCTATTTTAAGGCTCTATTTTAATAAATTTTAAAAATATAACGTAAAAATATGAAATTGCAACTTTAAAGAGGAATATATATAGATAAGAACTAGATTAATGCTTACCTGATTGATGACCAGAAGGACAGGATGATTCTACAATCATCTGCGCATCATTTCCACACCCAATACTGATTCTACCACCACAGTCAGACATTTTATCAACGTAAGCATAACTTCCAGGGAATGGACACGGACTAGGTCGGCTTCCATGAGCTGAAAATATAGAAATAAATATCATACAATGGCAATCCTTTAAAAGATTTGATCATGACCGCCAGCTAACTATTATTCTAATAGATATTTTTAATTTTGATTATTGTGTGATTGAACTCATTAAATGGCGTTTATTTTTCAGTCACAGGAAGATGCTACGCTATTTTTGATATTCCTGTCGCACGAAGATGATCCACTAAATGTTAGTGTTGATATATTTACACAAGTATAAAACCACGTAATCGTTGTTTATTGAACACAGACTTCCTGCTAAACCTCAAATTTCATATAAACAATTATAAATATGTGAACAATTCCAGATCTAACCAGATACATTAGTGAAAGGCATCTTCACTTCAGTCTATAGCCGTATAAATAGGGTGACCACTAACAAATGAAAATATTGCGATTTATTCTAAGTGACCAAAAAGCAGAATGTTTACTAAACTACATGTACAAGGCGAGACCTAGTTCCTCGTGTTGTTTCTGGATGTCGTTTATTAAGACCATGGCAAATCTTCCGCTTCCACCATGACATGCCCATTGCCCGAGAGATTTTTTCGATAAACTTTTTTCACTACAATTTCATAATCTTGTCCTGAAATATGAATCCAATTCTTTGATAGTTTGGTCTCTCTTTGGTTTTGTCTGAAGGTATTATGCTTAATATATTAGCACTAATATAATGTAATCGCATTAATTTCTTGTTGCAGCCTACAAAAAAGCATTAATGCGTCGAGTCAAGATGATGATCACCATTACAAGTAAGTAATTAATCGCTGTATTAAACAACTATCGAGGCGGATAAATCAGAAATCATTAGCTAGGGTGTCGTTACGTCTATAATATCACAGCGTCTATTTTATCTATGTTTTTATACCTAGTATTTTCACGTTTCGTTAAGCAGCTTTGATGCGTTCTATAATTTGATGTGTTACTAAACTGGGATGTTATATATTTTTTTTGAGTAATGGTCCTCCTTCCTGAGTGATGTTTTCTGACTTGGCTTTCAAAGTTAAGATACAAATTATGGAATGCTTTAGGGACATATGAAAAAAAAACGATGTAAAATACTCGTGCGAGATCAATCAGGAAAATAAAAACCTAAGTAACATTTTATATGTACTTGTTTTATGACCAATTTACATAGAAATTTGGGGCAAAAATATTATGGATACGTGTTATTATCATCTAACGATATCAATGTTAAATGCCTAAAAGAGGCGTATCACGTGTCGTAGAAAAAGTGCCCAAATCCCAAACCATGCACAACACTCTTTAATTTTCAGATCTGAGAAAAGTCATTGAATTTTATTTTAATACAGTTGCGATCAACTGAAAGGCGGCTTAAAGTCCTACAACCGGGATAATAAAGACCAAATACGGGCATACGCCAATCAGTGTATGTTGCGGGACTTTTGCTCAGACAGTGACGATATGGCTTACCCTTATTTCTATTTCTTACAAGCGATCTTTAACGTTGCAATTGTATATACAGGATCTAGAGTTTGTGTACACCCAAAGGACTACACGATTTTCTTTGTTAGAGTTTGAATAAGACTGGTAAATCCCTAGATATATCACTAGTTCCTTATTGAAAATGCCTGCACAACCATGAACCTATGAACTGGGTGTTCAAAGCGATGTTCAGAAATGAATTAATCTTTGTTTCCACTATGGCCGCTCTGAATTATTGTTTGAAACAGTTTTAATATTGTCAGAGGATGTTTTGTGAATTGAATTGTTTAATCTTAACATAAAAGCTTTTTGTTATTGTATTACTAGTTCTTGGGCATGTTCTGTGATCTTGCGGTTTAATTTCCGTTCTAGAGATAAATGAATTTTATGAAATATTGGTTTAAATTTTGAGTTTGTTGATATTGAGTGATATGAGGTTTTGGTTTAGCAAACCCTTGTGATTCATCTCACTTTAAGAGACTTCCTGTAGACCACGTGTTTACTTCCATATATATCTAGATCACATGTTGGCTAAAGACTGGTATTATAATGGTCTTATAAAAATAAACACACACGTGCTTGCCTTATATAGAGTAACAACTATCAAACATTTATAGTTTGCATGCCAGGAAATGTGTGTACATTGCGGGCACAATCAAAATTCGAAATGCATGTTCTGGTAATAGTCACGAACACCTATGTCTCATTCTCATCGTGTGTTACTAGCAGTATTTTAGGTCCTGATAATAAAGACTATAGAATTGATATGCAAGCCACGTGTGTGTTTATGGAAGTTGGATTAAAGGAGAAGTTGAGAATGTCGTTAGAAATGGAGGAAAATATGGCAACTAATTCACACCAGAATAAACACGTCTTCAGCAGTTAAATATCTGTCTAAAAGGGTTAACGGGTTAATGTATCATGGCGTAAAGTCTGCTGGGAACAGTCAAACGTCTGCCCGTATGATTCAAAAAGTTTCATGCAGCAGTGCGTACTGTGTAGAAACGATTTGCGGAAAACGGTGGCTGTTCGGTCTTTAGGATTGAACACTAAGATCATCATGTTAGCACTACAAGTACAGCCCGTCCTCCATACGGGATTGTGGGGAATGAAATGTCACATTTGGGATTCCAAAAGTCAATCTGATATGTTCGCTACTGTTCTGTACCCTAACCACACTTTTGTCTGCGGTATTAGTTCAAGGTTAAAGCGGACGGTAACCCCCAGTGAGCAGCGCTAGTGTGCAGATTATTTTTCAAACTAAGTTATATATTTGTCTGGAAGAACTAATAAGGAAGTTGTTAATGTTTAACTTAAAAAATCGTATTGTATTCTTCTATAACAATGTTCATCTACACCTGCAAAATGACATTTAGATATAAGAAATAAATCTCATTACGATATATACTTGCATAAATAACAAGAAAGAAAATGCATTACCAACCGTGTAGACGTATTTGACATTCAATTCGCCCTTTCAAAGTATTACATTTTTATTTTTGTTAAAGTTGTGAAAATAAAATACTTTTCTTTTTAGAAGAGGTATTAAAGAAATAAAACATTAATCATTTTGTGTAAATTGTGATTGTGGGTGGGCCAGGGGTATATTGTCATGGTGGATTTAAGGTGATACAAAATTGAGTTTAAAGCTCTGGGAAAGAGTGGGCTAGAAATAACAGATTTAGCTAAATGTAAAACTGGCTTAGTTGAAAACTGTGATCGGTTGTCAAATCATTTATTACGTATTATCTGTACCCAAATCCGTGGGCTGGATAAAGATGGATTAAACGTCTTATTTGAGACCCAGCAAAAGAAACGCGATTATTCCCGTCTTTAATCGATGTAGAAATGTCACTGAAATAATCCCTCTCTGCAAAATTGAAAATCTATTCGATTTACGTTTTAAAATTGTAAGCTATAGCTGAACAAATTTAAAGCTTGTCCCGAATGCAGTTTATAGACAGCTGTTAGAAAATCTTTCAAAAATACATACATATATTATAAGAATATATAACTTACGTATTAGGACATGTTTCACAGATTGTCTAAAATGGTGATCATGACATTTTGTAAACTGATCGACTTGTGTGGTACCTGTTAATTTAACAAAATAAAACACAATTTAAATATCAGATTAAACGAACTCTTAAAGTGTATAAGAATTGACTGTTTGATTTGGCATACTAAGTGGCACTTGTAATTCAAGAGAGGGGTTTACTTGAATATGTCGTAATACCATTTTCTTACTAGAGAAAGATCATTTAAGTTACTAAAAATATCACTTCAAAAACCATGTGACTCCATTATTTGTAAGAGAAGTTGTACCGATTTCGTCAAATAGTAATAATAAAATCCTCAAACATTTCATAAAGTATACACTTATATTTGATGAAGATGAGTAAAGCAAATAACTATAGACTTTAATACTTACCGAACATCAATTCTACAACTGAATGACTGTGGCGTACTACTCTTACACATTGGTACTCAGAAACACTGAAATGGATCAAAGCAGTTTATTAAATTTGTTGGCATGTGCCCAATACTAAATATGGTTAGAGAGTTAAAATGATTTCTTGAAAATGAATTAGATTACTTGTCGCACGCTAGTCCTGTCACCCGTACAAGGCGAACAAGTCGCGAGCTTATTTAAGCCACGAATGTTGAAGTAACAAACTATCCCAAAGCAAATTACAGTGGTGCTTTAAATTTAGAAGCACGCTAGAAATCACACGGACATCATGTTGATCTCAGTAGTTTAGAACCATACTGGTATCTGGGCTTTTATTTTACAACATTACAAAGATCGCTGTCTACGGAAACACAACGTGAAGTCCAAAAGACCGCCCGTATATAAAAGGCGATCCTTGTGGCAGTAGTGTTATAATATCAAACATTGTTATATTAGAATATGAAGTCTCTATCAGCCAGCCTTACCATGTATCATTAGTAGTATATGTCAGTATATTCATGATCTCCTTTCCCGCCATATTCGTTGGTATATCGATACATCGGATACTAAGTCGAGTTTCAGTTTGTACATCATGTCCGTATATGGGATCGGCGGCATCTAATAGCCGGAATGTTTCCCGATCTTTATCGACTATGATTCGGTATTTTCCGGCAAGGTCTCGCCATTCCCGAATTTTGGTGAAGAAGCTTGGAAAGGAACAGGCTGGTTGTGGCCAACTATCCCCTCCTACAAAAAATAATTAAAAACACCATTATAATATTGACATTTTAATATACAATGCGGTATTATTTGTAAATCTACTACACTATTACGATGGATTGCACCTGGAATTAAAGAAGCCAAAGGGTAACATCAAATAAAGCTATAAACCTACGTTATCAACGAGAATAGGAAGCCGTTAATTACATGAAATGACAAATGTATTAAATATATCTAATCTTTAGTGTTAATAAAATGTTATTATTTTTCATCATGACGTCATCAGTATAATCATTTTGCTTGTTAGGAGAAGTACAATTCTTAAATCCATAATGCTCTTTCCAGATGGGATCCCGGTCTGGACCAAAAAAGGTCCTCGGGGTTTTTCTGCCGAGACTCTGTGTGTTATTGTTGCAAGAATGAGGCGCTGGTAAGGATAAACGTCTAGTCGTTCGAATGGGATAAAAAACGAGGGCTATTTGTGTATTGCTCGTTGGCTTGCATGTAGAAGGAACGGTTGGATAACGAATGGTTAGAAACACCGCTATCCGGGCAACATTATCCACACAGCACACTACATGGCCGTCTTCATTATCCCAGTTGGTGCAGAGAAGTGGGAAGTTTAACTCCATTCCAACACATTTCATTCTAGTAGACCTAATGCTTTGATATAATCGATTAAACATACAAAACATCCCCCCCCCCCATAATACACTACATGGCGCATGCCTATCTTCATTAGCCCAGTCGGTGCAGATAAGTAGGAAGTTTAACTCCATTCCATCTCACTTCATTCTAGTAGGCCTAATGCTTTTATATAATCGATTAAAAATATAAAACATTTCCCTCATAGCACACTGCATGGCGTATGCCTATTTTAATTAGCCCAGTTGGTACAGAAAGTAGGTTCATTTCATTTCATTCTAGTAATGCTTTTATATAATCAATTAAATATACATCACATGACTTATATAGTGATGGTTAATGAAAGCCATAATTTGTCGATACATGCTGTGCTACTGTATCCAGACCGAGAGAGATAAATTATAAAATTGCCCAAGGCTTAGAGTTATCCCAGAGAATAGCTTTGAGTAGCTTTAAAAGATGAACATTTTTCTAGCCTGTGTAAGAATTAAGCAGGCCAATTTGTAAGGTAAACATATGTTTCTTAGATAAAGACCAATAATTGCTTCAATCATCTTGCGTTTATTACAGAACCTCGTTAAAATTTCCATAAATGCCCAGATAGATAGATTGACGTTTACAGTAAATTGCCATCTCCATTCAGTTTTACGCAAATTCCCTGCTTTACAGAAATTGGCCAGATCTGTAATCACACTAATTTTAAGATGTATGTCTTTCATATTAAGTCAGGAATGCATCGAGAAGATTGGCATGTCATCGCCTAACAGAATATCCAGGAATTTTAAGTAGCCCGATTCTTATTTTAAATGGATGGGGAAAAGTGATCCATCAGTTTCATTTGACTTAATATCTTTTATAACAGCAGCAGAAGTAATTTCCAATAAATATTTCATGTAATTTATGTATACCATACACGTTTTCAGATTTATCAAAAGAAGAAAATGCAGTATTTATAATTTATAATTGACAACACATCAACTACAAAGCAATTGTTCAATTGATTGCAGAATATGTATTAGCTTTATTCCCGCGTTCCGAAAATCAATGCGCGCAAACAAAGTTTAAATTTACGTCTTTTAGTATAATAATGTTTGCGAAGTTAAGGAGATCAAAATCACTTCCTGGCATTCAATTATGTTTTGAGTGAACAGTTGGTAATTAAACGCCATTTATTCTACGGTAGATTTACCATTAAAATTCACTAAATGAATTTCCCGTAACGTTGAAGATCAACATAATATTCTTCAGTTTACGAGCTTATTATCAGAAGACTGTTTGTTAGGTTGGTTTTTGGCCTTCAATCGATTGCTCTTGTAACAAGATTATCTGATATAATTCGCTGCACATGGTGAGTAACTTTTAGAGACGAATCTTGTTGTTTGGGATATCTAAATTGTGAAGTTTCCTCTCTAAAAGAAATATCAGTCCATTCAATTTACAAAGATATGATGCATTGAAAAATTAGCAACATTCGCCGTCCTCTGAAGTCGAAATTCACATGCCACTTAGTGTATTGGACACACTCTTTTGATTGGTATAGTTTTAATCAGAATGAAACCAAGCCTGAAAATGAATCTATGTTTGATATTTAGATTTTCATTTCTTAAATAAATGTTGAATAATCCATTTGGATATATTTTAGCACTGATTAAGGGTCGTTTGCAATGTATGCTTTTTCGTGGCGTTTCCGCGCACGTTTTCGCCGGCGGAAAAAGTCGGTCTTAATACAAATGTTATGGGATCGTTTCCATTTAACCAGTGGAAACGCCGCGAAATTGCAGGCATGAAAAATGGGCTTAAGCCGTAAAGAAAAAACTTTGTCCGTATATTACAGGTCACTGTAATTGGCGTATATTACAGGTCACTGTAATTGGTTAACAAAATTGTTAACCACGCAGAGCATTCTGCACTGACTATTAAAGACAACGCGCATGTTCACTGGCTAGATGAAACCCAGGCCAGATCAACTGAATAGAAACCTCTTACATAATATGGTATTTTCTATCTTACCGTAGTATACACGCAAACACATTAACTGATAAAGAAACGAAAATATGGTCGGAAGTTAATTAAACTGGATACATGAATCATACGTTTTCCACAATATATCCATTAAGAAAGAATAAATACCAATATAAAACTGATACATTGCCTACACCCAACAATACCTTTAAAATCCTTAAATATCGTATAGAACTAGTTTAACATTGACAGTTTATAGTATTGTAAATTGTTCTGGAAGAATTGAATCTGATTGAAAACAGTAATATGAGTATATTTGAAATTATCTACAATAATAGAATGCTGTATTATATATCATCGTTTTATTATCTAGTTTACATTAACTATACATCACGTGATCTATATAGATGCTTTATATCACGATTAGAATATCATGTTGGTAGCATGATTTATAAGACCACCATATACAGGTTTACAGATAGCATGATTTATATACCACCATTATAGATTCTACCCGTCTAAGTAATCAGAAAACATTATTTTTCTACAAAACCCGATATCAGTTTTTCTTCATTAAAAGGCCAATGCGACAGCAGCTCTCGTTTATATTTATTAAAAGCTAAGGGCTGGAATTAGTTTTCTTTGGATAGTGATTTTAAACAAAAACGTAGATTGACGATAGAGATGTAAGTAGTACTAAATTTCAGTTCCGTCAATCTGGTTAAATGGGAAGTTGTTTAATTCGTTTTCTTAAGCGAGTCTCAAGCGAGTGCAAATTTCTAGCGTTTGATTTGGTGCAATGTGTCTAGCCTCGTCCCTCGAGTCTCTTGATACAACTGAGGCTGAAGCGCATTATGGTACACGATTCATGTACCAATAGTAAAATGTTTATTTTGTCTTAAATATTGGATATCAAAAGCCCATCTTATTCCGGTAAGATCACAACATGAATGTTGATTTAATTTGACAAATAAATCGTGTTTTCAATGTTGAAGATTTTGGATGATATTGAGTTAGAGACTTAGCTCCTTTAAAGTCTTGATGCGCGTTTTGCATTTTCGCTCAAATATTAAATTTCTCAAGGCTTAATACACACCAAATATGTACTCAGATTTGTTATTTAACGTTTGATTAAAAACAAGATCAAAATACCTCCCGGCTTTGATTTAATCGGATTTAAACTAGGCCCACCAGGTTTCTCCTTTACCTATAACAAGCGTCTTGTTACGTTCAATTAAATTTTCATTTAACATAACTTTGTAAATACTGAACGGCATTGAAACATACATGGACTGATATTCCTTTTAGAGATTCAACTTTCAGTATGTTGTAGATTGTAAGTTATTAATATTGCTTAAAATGGCACATCGGGAGTTTCAGATTCACGAGAATACCGGTAGTAAAATGAATAATGTATAACTTACTATGATGTAAAACCATGGTCATACCACCCACAGATGGCGACTGTAAACCAAGACACGAAGCATCGGCTGACATACTCATCTCTCCTCGTGTACCCCAAAAACTAAACATCTGAAAAGTGAAAAAATTATCAAATATATTACATCAAATATTTAAAAGTGATCGATGACTGTTAAATTTTATGAACACCTTCTTGGAATATGTAGAACATTAAACCTCATTTTATTTCATTTCTTGTAATACGAGAGAGGAGAGAAATGGTGATTACCAATCACAATCTAGATCATTTCGGGACTAGCATATGGTTCAATTTTATTTCAATAATTTGCTTGCGTGTAGGAGTCTTTAGCAGTAGGAGGAAACCGGGGGAGGACCCGGAGAAAACTCATGAGGTGGGATAGGCGACCCTACTCTTTGTCACGCACAACCGGGGACCGAAACCATACCAGTTGGCGCAATGACAGACCTTATGATACAACGCACACGCGCTAACCATTAGGCCATCCAACCCCCTAATTCTAGAAATACGTAGGTAGTTTATAGTACCAATGAATAAAAGAGTTTGTGACTTACAAAAAATATTAACCTCTAAATGATCGTGTTTGAACAATTCCGGATATAAAATGATTGGCTGACCTAATTCTGTACAAGCAAACACAAACAAAAAATAAACAACTACGTGTAATAACTATAATGTTGGACTGAGGCGCCAAAAATAACGAAGGAAATATCAATCAATCACGACTTATTAACCGAGGAATAAAGTTAAGAAAGCTTGCATTTATGTATGAGAATTTCAGAAAAAATCGACCCTGCCATTTGTCTCGTGATTTTCCATCAATCATAAAACTGATGCTGTTCTATATTTGCCGTTACATCTATTTTTCTCCCGTTCAGTTTGTCCTGTCAATTACCAGAACAAGCTACCACATTTCCCGCCAATATTGGCAGTGAAGTCAAATCCAGCCAGTCACTTGAATACTATCATAATGAAAAAGGGAGTCTGGATGAGCTAGACTAACGATAAGGTAATTAAATCACAGTTAGCTAGACGCACATCTTAGGTCATCAGATGTGAGTTACTCGGGTTGAACCTATTGCCTCATCAATCTCTAAAGTAGCGTTTCTCCTGTTCAGACAATCAACCTTCTAAGTTGTCAATCAAACGCTTGAATAAGTTTTCTTCTCGTACGTGTTCGGTAAGAGATAATTCACAAGACATCTTACTCGATTATAAATATCTTCTACAGTGTTTTTTAAATGTTTTATTTTATCACTCAAGTTGTAAAAATCAGACAATAATGGTTTCTCACACTCTCTCCTTTACATCACACACTTCCGACATTTCGTTTCGCAAAATTTGTGTAAAAATTGGTGGTAATTGTTAAATCTTTCAGGAGAATCTGGCCATAATATCATGCGACATGTTTAACAGTTCACGTCGATGATTTCAACCAAATAATCGGTGGGTTCAAAATCAATTCATAGTAAAAGATATTTAAAAGGGGTAAAAGATAAATATTATTTGCCGTGAAATCTGGCCGGATATCGAAAGCACATAAACAAGAGGAGTAACTTTATCTGTGATACAACCAGATTAAAATCACCAATGATTCCGATAAGAAAACAATCTGCGATTCGTACTGTTAAAATGTTAAATAATAGATGCTTTAATAAACACTATTCTCTGACAAATCTAATCAAACTGTAATGTGTTGTGTAACAAAATGCAGCATCAGTGTTCGTTCATTTTGTATCGTCCATTTTGTATCCACGTCAAAATTTTACATTTGTAGATTTTATGACATTTTATACATTGTTGCCTTGGACTGTCCATCTAAATTAAACATTTTATACCGAAAATAAAATACTTACAAAGCATCGATACATCTGTTCTCGACTGACCATCGAACGGCTCGTAAATTTGCCATATAAAAACCTCTCACCATTGTGCCACGTGGCATAACACTGGAAATTTAAATCTGAAACAGATATATAAGTAGATTAGACACACGTGCATCTACTAATACGTCGTTCTAACGCTTATATTGCGGTAGTTTTACTTTGTCGACTGAGGGCATAGTTGGGAGTATATACACCCGTCCATAAATTCTAGTCCATAACTGCCTTTGAGAAGGATTTTTAGTAAACTGTTTCATCTTGGCCTCTTCGAATAGGCTGGCTTAAAAATTGTCGCCTCTTCATATAGGCCGACTTCAAAATTGTCGTCTTTATCTAGATTATTGCATCAACATTTATTATACATATAGTGGACATTCGAGATTGTGTATGATATCCGTGTGCGTAATAAACAATAACCTCTAACCTCTGTTAGAACAGTTTAACTGATGTCGCTTATTGAACATATTATAATCGTCTGGACGTCATGTTATTCCAGTTCTGGTGAAATATGAAATCAAATCTCTGATTCTTCACTAATTGTAGATAAGTCATGAACTCCAAGATAAAAAACACCACGGCTAGAAATCCCTAATACTGTGATGCGTGATGAAAATAAAGAAATCAAGATTCGGATACTGCGATGCCATAGTTCTGAATGGTTGTAAGTGTAGGATCACTAATCACATTGAGAGGTCGTAACTTCCACAAAAAATGGGTTTTTTTAATTTTGATTTCCTAATTGCGTTATTAAGATTGAAATAGGTTTTCTCTCATATCTCAAAAAAATAAATTTGACATTTTTGAGACTTAACACCTTTCCGAACTATAACATCAACTGGTTAATCAAAACGACCTATGTGAGAAGTGGACACGGGGCTTATAGAAATTGCAACTACAGAATCACCTGTAGTAGGTTATTTAATTCCGAGATACTATAGGTTATTATTATAAATGTAAATATTCTTACTTAAATTATGAGTTTCTGGTCTATGGTGACAATGTCGAAACTTGAATTTAAATCTGGAACTATCTGCGCATGCCTGAATTTCCGACATGGGTTCAGCGCATTCGGTGTTACTTTCATTCGTGTACGAGAATAAATATGGGCCTTGGAATGGACATTGGACTGGTTCACTGTGAACTGTAAAATAACAATGATGTTGTTAGAAACATAAACAAGTCACAAAAAATACAATCAATCAAAGGTTGATGGAAGTATATAACCGCCATTTATAGAGACAATTTCGCTCTTATCTAGTCTCGGGCCACTTCTTTCCTATTTCTTACAGACAACCAAACTTTCATTTAATTCCAGCTTTACACAATTCCTGGATGTCATAATGCATAACATAAAGTATTTCAAAATACCCAAGAAATAAGAATTGATATATAGAATTCTCCAAAATGCGTTCATTTTACACAGTTTGCTAGTTGAAATTTTGTCTAGTCAGTGTGAAGTGTGCAATCTTGGTCCCATGGAATATTAGAACATTTATCTCCATTGATGGGCCATGTTTTAGTTCAATTTAAAACAGATAAATGTCACAATTAACAGACCTCATGATAAACAATTGTTATAAAAAACAGAACTAGTGGTGAGGTTGATAAAAATGTGTTTTACGATCGGTGAGTATTGTTCTCCTGCTAGTCGACTGATAGTGGGTATTATTTTTAGTGGGGGACTGTTAGGTTTAATGGTCGATAGGTATTAAAGGGCAAATCAAGTCACTGCAGTTGTTGTTATATTCATTACTTAACTTTAATCGCTCAGGTTATTCATATAGCATCACGTTTCAGGTTGTTCATTGTCGGGTCTTATTTAACATTAGACAATGAATTAAACACTAACATAGTCGTATTGCTTTATTCAACCCGGAAATTGTGTTACAAACCAATCTGTCTTCAAATAAGGCATTCTATTTTTTTTCATTTATTACAGAAATATAGATACATTTATAAAACATAAATTTGACATACCTATGCATGTCTCAGTAATTAAACAAAAATAGTTACTAATGACCTTCCCCTTTACGGTGTAATTCAGACAGACAGGGGTATTGGTTTACATAATGCGAGAAATTAAACCGCCCCTTCACATATGTAATGTGGCTATATGAATGTTATTTTATATAACCCAAAAGAAAGTGAACTGCTCCTTTAATATGGTATGTTGGAGTATTTTTTTTATATAACCTGAGAAAGTGGACCCATCCTTTAAGTGTGTTATATGGATATATATGAGTATTGTTTTATATAACCTAGGAAAGTGAACTCACCCTTTGAGGGTGTTATATGAGCAGGTAAAGTGTAGAACATGTGCAAAGGTTATCGTGATTATATCTTAAACAAGGTGTCAATGAGATATAATTACTCCCCTGTAACACATCTAAACATGATAACTCTAACAGTCTGGTTTATTTCACAATCAGTGACTGTGATTTAAAGGGAGAATCAAGGGAGGAAAAAAAATAACCAGTAGGTAGTAGAAATGGCCTGTATGAACCCAGTTGTATCCTATTAAAAACAACTGAGCATTGTTGATGCTTGGAGAACAAGGACTTACAACTGGTCGGTATGAAGGGGTCCTACCAATCATCTACAACGACATACAAGTGATCTCTATGAAGGGGTCCTACCAATCGCCTACAAGGACCTACAAGTTATCTCTATGAAGGGGTTCTATCAATCACCGACAAGGACCTACAAGTGATCTCTATGAAGGGGTTCTATCAATCACCGACAAGGACCTACAAGTGATCTCTATGAAAGGGTTCTATCAATCACCGACAAGGACCTACAAGTGATCTCTATGAAAGGGTTCTATCAATCACCGATAAAGACCTACAAGTGATCGGTATGAAGGGTTTCTATCAATCCCCGACAAGGACATACAAGTGAAGGGCTCCTATCAATCCCCGACAAGGACCTACAAGTGAAGGGCTCTTATCAATCACCAACAGGGACCTGCACGTGATCGATATGAAGGGGTCCTATTAATTAATCACCGACACGAACCGGCCAGAGCGTTTTGTTTTGGCAATAGCGCCCAAAGTATTCAAAACGTGATCGAAAAGATATGTTATCGATGATTTCATAAAAGATCTTCAAAAGAAACGCTTATTTCGCTGTTTGGTAGGACCGGTGTGAAGTAATTTAAAGGTGAGGTCGAAAGGAAGGTGTAAAGAAAGGGGAAATTACCTTTGACAATGGTAAGAAGTGGGTCATCGCCAGTTATATGTCCACAAACATCTCGTAATGAATTCTGTTTATAACAATAACCTGAAGAATAAATAAATAAAATAATTTAAAAAAAAACATACAAAAACAACCCCCCAAAATCCCCAAATAAACCCCCTAAAACCCCCCAACAAAATATACATATAACTGTTATGAATGAGATCAACAAGACGCGTTGTCGGATACGATGTCCTTCCTGGTGGCAAGAGTACATAAAATGAAAATATTAAATAGTATAGGAATTAATCTGTCGTAATGGGTAACCACTGACAAAATAATGGGCGGATATTTTATTATTTCTTTCAAACAAAAAGTTTAATTGGAAGAATACAGGATTCAAAAATGAACAATCCAAGTTCAATTAGTGTAAACTGGTGCCATGCTATAGATTAATCCTATAATCAAAATCGAACATGTAGCCAAGAGTAATGGACATAATTAACCAAGCAGAAAGACGGGTTAACATGACAATCAAACCCGACGTCACTGGGTCACTAGTCACACGACATGAGGGATAGCTTATTGTTTAAATCAAAATTACAAATTTATGACACGGTGTGCCCCAGCAGCAGGGATCATCAATTGGAAAATATATTAAATAGAATGGTCTCAGACAATTGTTATAATGTCTTGATCAAATGATGGATTTTTTCACGTTCAATAACATCACCTGTCACGTGGTTCAATGAATTTAATATGTCACATGATATTGATGTCATGGAATCTGATTACCATGGAAACAATGAGTAACAAATAGAATATTAGTTTTAACAATATGAATCAGAAATAAAAATTAATAGAAATAATTTGAGATATAACAAGATCGTTTATTACTCGTGATATCAGATATAATGATCACAAATATCTACAGAACGTCGACATTGTTCGTGTCATATTGTTGTCATGTCAACTAGTGTCAATTTCTATTAGAATTGAAATCTCTTAACACATGTTGATTCCCTTAAAGAATACAATTACAAACTAGTGAATGTCTTAAAGGTCAGGTTTTGATTTCGATGCATCGCTATCAATACAGAAATTCTTCATCTAACCTTTGTCAGTCTTAACAAAACAATATGGACATCTTTAGAATAATTTCAGTTTCTGAGACATTCAGTCGGTTTAGATATTTTATAGATATAGTTAAGTGGTCGTAATTTTAAGCTGTCGTTGTTCTGAATAAACTAATCGGGGTCTTTGGGGAAATTCAAGATTTTAAACAATGTCGCTATTTGTTTATAAAGCTAATGTTTATATGAAGCTATAATTACCTGCTTTATACTGTAAGATATTTTTATGTCGTGGTGTAAATACTAAACATCTAAAACACAGTTGACTTCTGAAAAAAAAAAGAAAGAAAAAACTTGATGAATATGTTAAAATTTATATCAGAGTAGAGGGCTGGGCACAAAATAATGTCAATGAACAGAGAGGATCATCAGTACCACTGTTGATAAACATATCGTTACATAGCACAGATTACGATAAAAATGGGCTGTGATATACTTCCAAGCGAAACAGAGTCGTTAACATCCATTACCCCTTTATTCTAAACCCTAAATCAAATTTGTTTCAATGAAAACATTGATTAAATCCGAGATAATTCTACTATAATATTATTACTCTTAGGTGGATATGTATACACATATATCCCTTAAACATGTCGGAAAGGGAGGAACCACGGTTCCCATTTCAATATCATCCCTTTATTCGTCGCTGTTGTCAGTGATGCAGGACGGGGGGCCTGACAAGGACAGCTGTCTACTCGTTCGGATTGGACGAAAAGCCGATGTCCCGTGTACACATTGGCGTGCACGTAAAAGATCCCTTGGCAGTTGGAATTCGATATAAGAGTAGGCCGTAGCGCCGCTGCCCAGGCAAAATTTCCCTCATAGCACACTGTATGGCGTATGTCCGTCTTCATTAGCCCAGTATAGGAGCAGAACAGTATGACGTTAAACCCCATTTCATTTCATTTCATTCGCCGCTGGATAATACTTATATACAAGGTCAGCATGATTGACCACGCACAGCAGCTTTACAAACTTCAAATTGTCGCATTTGTTTTAAACTTGAAATATTTCAATTCATAATACACCTTTCAAAAAAGAATCCCCCTTTAATGTTTATCTGGACTTAATGAAATCACCGAAAGCTTTTAATAGTTTCGAAATTTATAATATATGACATTTTCCAATAAATAAAAATCCCTTTAAAGTTTTATTTGGCGTTAATAAATTGTCCCGTCTAATTTTACTTCCAAAGACTCACTAGGGAATAATGTAAACGAAATCAAGTAAAAAAAAACTACATTAACTTTAATATATCATAATATAAAACAGACAGTGGGTAATTAAAAGTAAGTGCTATAATAAATTTGATTACTGAAAGAATTTAAACCCACGCCAGTGGAAATCTGATGATTGAATCAAGATAAAGATCTTAATATTAAAGACAGACTTTGATAAACAGTTTATCATTTTTATTACATCATAGATTTTTTTTTGTCTCTCCATAAAATCTGGGATTAATAGACAAGGTGGGTCAGATAAGATCGGTTTATGAAAAAATTCTTAGACGAATAATTCTATGGTCAGGTGGACCCCATATTTGATTATGGTGAATCGAGGGACATTAGTGCATATTATTAAGATATGCCCTAAAACAATTCTTGTTAATGCTAATATTAATAAAATTCCATTCATAAGATCAGATGAAATCAATTCAGACCATGCCATATATACTAAGTGTTAGAAGAATGTAATCATTTAGGACTGCCCAGAAATGTCAAGGGTGGAATTTGTAAGTTACATAAGAAACATTCATTTGAACACGTAGACTATTTATATTTAAAGGGGCATTATGGGAGATTAGATGAAAAGCTATAATAGTTAAATGATAGATAACGTAAACAGAATATGCTGAAAATGTCAGTCAAATTGCTCCACCCTGAACCGAGATATTAGAGATTGAATTTTAGACCTAGCTTTGGTCATCATTACTAAAGCCAGTAAGATTTAAAAAAACAAAGTTTCGATAACCCATTTTGACGTTAAACCATCCATCACAGAATGTATTCAAATCCAGTAAATATCGCAGGCTAGCATTGACATCGAGAGTTGATTATGATCTGAATACGTTAATTAATGTCTAATTAATAATTTAGATAACATTTCAGGCCTAAAGAAAGGCCTGCAATAGGCAGAGTTAGCTCTTGCATAATGTATGTTTAAGGTTCTGTTGTGTTCTCAGCTGCCTTATAGAAGTCTCCCACAATCATGTGTACACCCCACGTTTAGTTTGACTAAATAGGCAATTTCATTGGGTAATCTCCCACATGAGACAGAACGATGTTTGTTTACAACACGAAATAGGGTCGATGTTAAATATTTTATATAAGTATCGGTGGGTGTCGTGTATTCGTTGTAACACATTTCTTATTTGTATTCGCAGTCTTCACTTTAATTTGTTGTTCATTTTGACCATAAACGTGTGATTAAATCAACCCAATTCAGAATGAAGGGATTAGAGTTACGTGACACTGCTCAATCTTTTAATTCCAATTTACACAGTCAAATAATTGAATTGATTAAACAAACAATTTAAATGATGGCAACCAATCGATTTGTGCAAATTTAGTATAATTTATTATGTTTTATCGTTTGATTTTAAGTTGGAGGGAGGACATTAATACCGAGGGAGGACATTATACCAGCCGGATAAGTAGTCTCTAAATGTAAATAACCAATTCGATTAAATTAAACAAACAATTTCAACAGAGCCAACCAATGAATTTATATCCAATTAATATGTTACTATAGTGCTGAACAATTCTATCATCAGCTTCACATATTGTCATATTTAGATATTGAGAATTACTACTGAATACAGGGCAAGTCAAGTAGATAATTGAAAAGAATCTAAATTGAAACGGAATAAAAGAAAATAATTCCTAATCGTGTCGGGTTCACAGTGTTCTAACAGCGGAATTAATTCGTAATAAAGCCAGTGGTATTAATACCTCATCATGCTACAGCATGGGATTGTGTCGATCGCTGTTAACAATAGCGCATATGGAGCATCATTTAATTTGATTGATTTGTCTAAATCTATAAATTAGTGAAGCGTTAATACTAGTATATATCAATAACGTAATCCTCTTTGGTGATCGTGTACATGCTGGTAGAACACGTACATGATCCGATGTTTTGTCCTTGCAACATCCGTTCGTGTAAGATGCATTCTTGGACATGGGTAATTAGAATGACATGAGCTAAAATGATGGGAAATGGGGGGGGGGGGGGTTAGGGTCTGGTGCACGGGGTACATGTAAGGCTAGATCTTACATATTGTTAACTATAGCATCGATTCCTGTAAAATGCATGTTATTGTTCACTTGCCTTCTATGTCATTTTGTAGCTGGGTGATCGAATAACATCAACTAGAATGAGGGGGATTACATTTGTACATTCAAGACTTTTTTTATATAACAAAAATATTACAAAAAAGGTTTGATTAAAAGACTAAACCAAAAATGTTCAAAACTGGAAGTTAGAACCGCTGTGCACCAGGAAATTAAACTTTAGGTTGCTATCATGTTGTATTATATAAGTAACAGTTGTATATCGTTGAATAAAGGCGAGAAATTCCAATACATCTACTCGCCCTACTGTTCAATAATTAAACAAATCTGAGTGATTGAATTTTTTCTGGCACAACGAAACACATGTAATAAGTCGCATCGCGTGAAGCGTGCCAAAACTTGTTAAAATTTCTTATTACGTTTTTTTTACTTAGTCAATCACGAGACACGAGCTTGATCATTTGATTCAGTTTGCACCTCCCCGTGTGAATATATTCAATATATCACTGTTTTTTATTAATAATATACCTACTCAGGGATTTAATCAGATTTTGATGTCACGTGATGATAAATGAATACATTGCGTTTTTCCAATATCTTATTTTCGGGTTATGTAATATGACAAATAAAAAAATAAAAAAAATATGCGATAAAGAAAAATAGAAATTGATTAAATGCACTAAATGAAACGGACATTTTTTTTTAACTTCTAAAAAAAAAAAACATTTTTAATTTCCTGGAATAAAACTTTATTTTGCTGGCACCAAATGGTTATCAATATTAGCGCATCTTATACAAATTTTAAGGATATACTTCGCTTGAAATGCAGGAAACGAGAAAATCCAAGTTTACAGATAATTAATTTCCTGTAATTTGGAGATAAGCCCTTCCTATTTAGAATAGCTATTGTTTATTTGAAACCTCTTAAAGGGCGTATAGCTGTATTCTTTGGAACTTTAATCAGACGAAATCGGGTATAAAGGCATTTAGTAATTTTTGTATTTCTTTTATTATAAGTTCTAATCAAATATGGTCGGTTAAATATCCACATAGTCCCAAATTGAATGGCTAAGTCCATTATACATTAGTTTTCTTTTTAAATCAGCCATTTTTAATAACTTCTCCTGTAATATGTTTGTCTTTGTTCATTACAAATGGCGTTCGAAACCATTATTTCCACAGTGTACACAACGTCGTGTACTGGTTTAAAAATGTCCTTTGTGTCTTAAATATTGGATATTGATCCTGTATTTTCAGCGTAAGTTAACACCATCAATATTGATTATATTTTTTATATTTTTATTTTAATATAATGCATAATATTGAGTTAGCGGTTCTGTTTCTTTTAAAATCGTTTGAGACCGAGATCTTTAGTGAAAAATAAATGACGCCACAAGATTGCCGACGTCACATTTTTTACTATAATACAGTGCATAATCGCTTATAATTTCAAAAGGTAGCTCACATACAATAAAATATGGCATTAACACTGTTGTATTGTCAATATTCAAGAAATCCAAAGATAGGTTGCCAGGTAACAAAACATACGCCCACAACAGCTAAATCGGCCGCGCCGTCGAGACAGGTTGTCGCATATTTATTCTTTTGTAGATGATTGGGGCATTTACAAGACAGTTTCATACAGATCAGATAATAATTTTCGTCGTTTGAAGGTCCACAAGACTCTACAAGCTGACACAAAGACTTCAACTCTGAAAGTAATTTACAGAAATTGTTGAAATTCGACAGGCTTTTTCGTTTTACTAATTCAAATAATGCATATAAATTTCAAACAGATCGGGTGATAACTTTTGTCATTCGAATGTTCACAGGTTCAACAAAGTAAAACAATGGCCATAAATTTAGAATTTACGGAAACTGTCTAAATTCAATAGGATTCTTCGTTTCACCAATATAAATGATGCAAATAAATTTCATAATGATTGGATGATAATTTTTGTCTCTAGAGCGTTCACAAGGTTGAACAAAGTGAAACAAGTGTCAGAACTCGGGAAGAAATTAACAGAAATTGTTGAAATTGAATGGGATTCTTCATCTCACTGATGTAAACAACATCATCAATTTCAAAAGAATCAGATGATAAATATAGTCTGTAGAGTGTCCACAAGAAATTGTGGTAAACGGACGGACGTACGGAGGGAAGTACGGACGGGGGCGACGGCAATATACGACCACATTTCCATGTGTTTGTATAAAAATTGATTGAAGTGTACTACAATCTACACACTTTTTTAACGTCTGGGAAAACTCTTAATTTCCGGAATTCTTGGTTAACTTGAAATAAGAAGCGAAAAATTCAAAGTTTACGTATATTTACAGTGGCCGATATCTTTCTCTCTAACTTTAATCACTAGCATCAAAGGATATGTTTTATATTCCAGCGTTAAGGTCGTCATCGAGGCCCAGATGTGTAAACAAAAAAAACCCTATTAATACATCGTCTCGTGTTATATTAAATATAATTGATGAATTTTTATGTGTAACATTTATAACAGTTTTGTCGAATATAAATATATCAGAATCTATGAGCTATTCGAACTCCTCTCTATATATACCAATGTTAGCTATGTGTCCCCCACCACTGTTAGCTGTGTGCCCACGCCGGCACTCCTTACCACCCCTACCACCACAGCCGTTAACTATGTGTACCCACCACTGTTAGCTATGTACCCCACCTGCGCCAGAACAACGATCAGCTATGTTCCCACCACAAAAACTGTTAACTATGTGACTGCCCCCACCACAACAACTACTGTTACGTTTAGCTATTTGAACCCTGCCCTATCACCCCACACTATTCTCTATGCGAACTCCCCACTACAATTGTTAAAGTTACAATTTCATATTTTCTAAGAAAGTCAAAACATAATTATTTCTATGTCTTTTGCTCAATAGGTTGTCAACTCACTATTATACGATCATAGGTTATCTTTCTCACACTTAAAAATCTTCACAATTACCTTCAATTACCTCCCTTGTTTTCCTATTCCACACCATGGAATAGCTATCTTCAAACGTTTGAATTTGAAGTTGAAAATGATATTTTTGCCAATTTTTCAGCTGACAATAGAGATTTATAGTATTAATAGGATTATTCTTTAACAAGGTAGGACTGTTTATAGATACCATCTATTATAGGGCTTTATTTTAATACATTTTAGAAATATAACTTAAAAATATGAAATTGTAACTTTAACTGTACCCTATAATGCCAGGTAATATATCAAATCTATATCAATATATATTTTAGATATTAGTCTCAAAATGACCATTTATAATATTGTGTTAACCAGACGTTAAACCTATAATTCCTTTCAACTCAGGATAGACGACGGTTCAACTGTTCAGAACAGTTTACATCCTTTCAGCCACTGGGTCTGATAGCTGGATGTCAGCGTGTACAGTAAATCACTACAGTTTCAAAACCAATCTCTGAATTTCCTCCAGGTTTGATTGTTTAGTCAGCTATAACTAAATATTTGAACTTGAATAGAAGAAAGAATGTGAAGTATTTTAATTTGACGATTTTGTCCCCAAAAAATCTTCTCAATATCTGGATATCATCTGTCCAGAAACTCTGATTGTCCGTCTATCTATCTCAATAGGATAATTGATATAATGTAAACTAGTTGGATGGGAGGTCCCGTCAATTTGTTTATCTTTATTTAATTGTTTTGATGGAAGACAGATCTGTTCTATCAAAGATAAACCATGCTATCAATCTTATCACTGCTTAAAATAACACGCTTGGTGTTTGACACACAGGGACTAGTGAATAAACCATCAGCAGAAATAAATTAGCTCTTGTTACAGGGTGGTACCAACCGGGACCCCGGGGTTAAACGAAGGACACGTTAACATTTACGTCACTGCAAATTGCTTAACGTCCATTCACACAAACTAGGCCATTTGGCGATTAACGTATGGTATATTTTGTTTCAATATTTTATTCAATATAATTACACATTGTACAGTCTAAAGGATACGACAACAAGCAACATGCTTATGAATATCAGGAATTCCCTTGCGGGTTGTTTCGCAATTTTAGGAACCTGGAGTACCCGTCGAAAACCTACGAACTTAGGTTACGTGCTTGTAACGCTTGGGTCGAAATAAGGTATCTTGACTCAATGCATAAGACTAGTCGGCCACAAAAGCCGCTGTATTAATTGAGAGGTTAATCAAAACATTTTTAAAAAGCTAAAAACGCAGATATTCCCCATAGCCGCTGCAACCAAATGTACATTTTTCGTTCACCTAGTATTTGTATTTCAAACAAACTTCATTAGACGTTCAAATTAAATTCGATCGATGTTTCAAAAGCTTAGCTCTGAGACGTAATGTCCGATAAATTGAAAGCATCTCTACAATACCACTATTATAACAATACAATTATTTTCGAATCTTTGAGTCGTAAAAGAATAATTGGACCTAATATTATTTTTTGTATTAAGGAGCTATTGAACTTAATAGCAGACAAATGTTGGCTAGAGCATGCTATATAAATAACACGGTGATCTATTTAGTCTATTCAAATACCTTCTACCAGTCGGCATTATTAACCATTTGTTTTATAAAGTCGGCTCTATAACACGAGGGAATTCTAACAAATACAGAGTTCCAATTATTACTAGTAGAACCATAGACGAAACTATTTAATTACTCTCCTTGGGGGGATATAAGGGCTAAGAGATGTAAGGAGTATACTATCAGAATCTCCACTCGGCAACTCAAGTCCTTATCAAGATTTGGAGATGAGTTAATGTACCTATCATGTATCGACAAGAGAGTTGAAATGCTGTAGGGAGAAGACAAGTCTCGTCTTGTGAAGAGAGATCAGGTTTATTCTACTCTGATATTTTTACGAGTCTGTAAATGATCATTCTCGAAAACTCGGCGTTCATCATTCACTCTTGGAATCTGGACGTTTGTTTTGCTGCTATCTTTTGCGTAGACGTTTACACCCAATAACAAACTGCATATTTTAAACGTGTATTTGCATGAATTTGGATTTCGTAACATAACCAACATTTATTTTGTAATTTTGAAAACCCCAACTCTACACTAATATGAAACTAATATTGAGGGTTTAAAAGTTTGCATGCTAAATTATGTTATCAATTTACAAATAGCATGGGATTCACGCTGGTGAAATATAGCGATGAAGGATTAGCAAGATCAAACAATTTAGCAAAGGATCAATATCCAGATTATCTCCCTTTATGTTATAAAATCTGTCCAGAAGAATATCAAACAGATTTGCTGCTTCTTTCATGCTTAGGTGAATGGACCGAACCCTTCCTTATTTACAATAGAAGTAATAGTATTAAGTAAAGACGTAGATATAACCGGAAGGTCTGGGATGTAATTAAATGTTAAACATTCAGAAATGCATGATGAATAATTACTAATTAAGAAGTAGTTAAATTTACGAACAACCAAGCTGCGTTGAAATTTAGAATGTCAAACAATGCTCCCGCCCATTCTAATGCTACAATTAGTATGGACACAAAAGACATGACAGTTTCACTCGGTACCCGGTTTGGTTCGGTACCTTCTCTATACATATTATAACTAACCACACCCGGTCTTGATGAACTTTATACACCACTGAAAGGTAGTGTTTACAGCGATTTCACAACTTTTACTTGGGAGACAGACGTGTGGTTTCATTCGGAACTCATTTGGCTTGGCATCTTGTTTTTGTACTAATACAAAATAAGCGACCTAAACATAAACAAACCTCACTGGGTCTTGATGAACTTTATATACAATGACAAGTTGACAATTGTTTTGAGTTGAAATACACGCGGGAATCACAAATGAAATGAAATGAAATGGGATTTAACGTCCTACTGTTCTGCTCCTATACTGGGCTAATGAAGACAGGCATACGCCATACAGTGTGCTATGAGGGAATTTTTGCCCGGGCAGAGGCACTATCGCCTACTCTTATATCGAATTCCAACTGCCAGGGGATCTTTTACGTGCATTCCAATATATACACGGAACCTCGGTTTTTCGTCTCATCCGAAAGACTAGACAGCTGTCCTTGTCAGGCCCTCCGTTCTGCACCACTGACAAGGGGAAACCACGTCGGAAAATCTGGATGAACTTTCTCGGCCAATGCAGGGATCGAACACCCGACCTCCAGGCTAGCGAGCCAGCGTCTTAACCACCTAGCCACCGTGGCTCCGACGCGAGAATCCCACGAGGACAGTAGTGATAATAAATTAAGTTATGCTTACCTGTCAAATAAAAGATATTTATTGTCTTCCTTCTCGACACAATGACCCATGCGTGACATATTGTGTAGACTAATCTCTATATCTCCTAACATACTCTGGTACCATGTACCCCGCCAATCAGTCGGGAATGTACATTGTGATCCTGAAAATACACAACACCAAATAATTAGATTAATATGGAGAGTAACGTACTCCAACAACAGAACTCCAACAAACATGATATCTGTGAAAACTAGAAAACTACACTTGGATGTCATATACATTGGGTAGTACACGACCCCCCCCCCCCCCCCAATATGTAAAAAGATTCCCTAGTTTTCTGTTTCTTTGCATTATACCATTTACATTATGTATCACAATCGGGTTAAATATCGGATATTCTTATTATTTTTGAAGTGACGGATACCCAATAGCTGTATTTATGCCTAAGATCGTGTTAGTTCACCCTGAGAAATAGTTCGGGAAATAATATATTTTCTCAACGTGAACAGAAAATATTTCAGGTAAAATACAGGATTATTTCGGGAGATAATCTCACCTGCACGCAAACGTGATTATAATATCACACCAGGTGGCGCCACGATAATGGCCAAAACAATTCACAGGGCAAAACAGTAACGCAGCTGAGCAAAAACAAAAATCAAGAATATAAATGGAGTTTTAATAATGTATTTGTGTTATATTATCTTAAAAGACCAATGCACTATGGATGATATTAAGAAGAGTTGTTACGGGGGAGGTTTATGGTCCATCACCATCTATTATTCATATCACGTATAAACATAATGGCCGATAAGTAGAGGTTTATAGCAGATGATGCCTACTTGTAGATCCTGGAAATACTTAATGAAACGAAAAACCAAATCTTCTTATGAATATTTTATAAACACCGAAATACTTGACATGAATGAATGTTTTGACCCAACATTAAACCGGCAGTTCTTGTATAAGCACTCGTAAGTTATTAGCAAAATGGTACTACTTAGCTAGTTAACTTGACATATTCCCCCCTATAAAGTTCCTTTACTATTACACTGTTTTTCCCTTTTGTATTTATGCGCTTTTGGTTTTGATGGTCGTCAACTATATTAGTGCACCGGATTTATTCACTTGATTTGATATTTGTTGTTTATTTTTTGCAATGTCTTGTCCGCGGGTTTGTTTTGAGTGTAGTTCGGCCCCTTTGCACTTACTAGTAGAAAGGGTGAGCATGCGCCAGGACAATAATCAGGGTCTGCGAGAGACGAATATAGGATATTATTTTGACACAAATCAAAATTGTCTCCAGCGAACATAGACCTAAATAGATACAATAAAATTATATTGTAAAGAAGGAAGACAGGGATGGTAAGTCGATATACCAGTCAATCCACAAGATATTAAAATCAGCTTTTTTCATTGCACGGTAAGTCTAATATTAACAATCCTAGCTATATCTTCTGATATCTTTGGAAATTTTTCAATTACCATTCATGTTATTGGAGCATGATTAGTGATATTGGTCACGCCATGTAGTTATGCTTAATACCAATAAATTCCTCCATGTTCACCAGCCCACAATGACTCTTGCCCTGAACATCAAAGTGATGAAGAGAATAAATAATTCTAGATGCCACTCGGCACGCAACTTGGTGTAAAAACACTGATGGCCCTTCCACTCTTATAATCACAGTCAACTCTTCTCCTCCTTGATACAATCTCTACAATTCACTGGCATTGTGTTAAATCCACAAGTAGAACATAAGTGGTATCAGGTGTTCTAGCAAAGTAACCACATCATGCCTTGTGCACCACACTTTATATTAATTATAATCATTTGGATCGATAGTGAGGTCGGTGCTTATACTGTGTAGAGGTGCAAGACAAGGTATGTTGTGGCACGAAATGTTTTGGAAAGAGTAACCATACCCTGCTTCGTACACCACAACTGATATTACTTACAATCATTTGGATCGGTAGTTATGATTTGGATATTGAGTTGAAGTCCCACAGAGCGACATGTTTAGACCTACTAAATGTTTTAAAATTACTAGCAAGAACCTGTTGTAACCCAGATATTCACTGTACTAATACGTTTTGTATGGACAGTGAACAGATTCTAAACCATACTTGAAGTTATCAATAGTAACATTCAAATCTTTAAAGCAAATCACTCTTCTATGACTAACCAATTTTAAATGCATTTTAAACCAGGGAGCAACAAAAGATTGCAACAGAGCACATTCTAATTTAAAATGTATTCAAACTTTTTTTCATTTATAACTTGAATTACAAACCCGTCTCAAATTGTATTTAAGATTCCTTGTTCCATGTCGAGCATTGATTAGAAATTCTATGCCGGTAATAATACCGTTGAAAATACCATAAAAAATCGCATTTTTTCATTTCAGTATTTTACTGTAAAACCAAAAGTCGTTCCTCGGTCTCGGCTACAGGGAAAAATTCTCGTCATAACTGACACCCATCAACATCACTCTCAATAAAAATCGAATATATGCAAATAATTTAAATGACTGAATTTTACGACAATCAGAATGAATAATGTATTTTACGACAATCATGCTCAAATTCCAGCGATCATATTTCAAATTAACAAAATGGACAGCTACGTCAACCGTTGAATGATCTTCAGCAACAATTTAATGACCTCATTTCCCGGACTGCACGAGAAGGCAACACAGAGCTTGACAATGGTCGTATAATTAGAAATTTTGTCATTTTTTTCCAGTATTGGCATGGTGGCTGGCTATATTGAAATGGATTCCTGAACATTAAACGCTGCAGCATGTGGATGGTTAATCACTCTTTTCTGTACCTAGAGCCACCGTAAAGCCATACAGCGCTAATGAGAAAACCATAGAAAAAAATCACATCGTTTTTGGCTTCTGTGGAACTCAATGAGTCATGAATTTGGGTAAACATCAAAATGAAATTATTCGTGTCATATGAGGTCATGCTACCACGTAGATATTCTTTTTAATACTCGAATACAATCGAATGTAATATAATCAAAGATGAATTTGTCAAATTTCAACAGGTTTGGCATGGCATCAAAAGTTATTGATGTGTTATTGTTCCATAGAAAACGTGCACAACAGTTTTAGCTACGTGTTCAAAACGACTTGGACTATTTGATAAGATATTCCCGTAAAGACGGGGCACAGCTGTTTCCCAATCACTATTTAGGCGATTTTGTGAAAAAATGTATTGTTTTTTGGATTTTTTAAAAAAAATAAAATATTCCGTAATTGAAAATATTGGACAACACCAATTTAAACCTATTTGGCAATTTTTAAAATAATTTATGGATTCCATCGATAACTACATTTAGCCCTAACTGATAAATGGTGTCGTTCACCAGACAGGGTAAGCTTATTTATTTTTCTAACAAATCTGATCTCACGTCTTGTTTATTTGGAAAATTCACAAAGCCAAAACATATATTTAACATTAGTATATTGTTGTCCAAATGAAACCATATCAAGAACAATCTGTTTAAATCACTTTATATAAACTGGGATCCGCCCTAGAACATTGGTGGGGCATCGACCTCTCGACTAGATCCCGGCGATGGCAGGGGCGACGCATGTTGGTTTGTGCTTATATATACTAATTTATCAAGCTCTATGTATTTTTTTTTCTTTTAAACTTTGATATCTATATTCGGCCTAATTAAAAGCTGACAGTTTCTTCTGTATTTTAGCATATCTATATTGGGTCTCATTAAAATCCTACAATATGGGTCTTTATATATATCTATAGTCTATATATATATATGGTCTATATGGACAATACTAGTAACAACAAAGGCCAAAAACCAAGAATAACATTGAAGCTTAATTACAACTATTAGAATTCATTGAATTCCCCCACATTTGTGTAATTAGTAATGACATCATGGTCTCAAAACGGACGCAAAAAAGCTTTCAAATTTGTTGTAATTTAGACCAAGTGATGGGCGAGTTTCATGTTGAAACAAGATCTCGGAACAAAAGACAACATGGCGACCTTGACAGCACGAGAGACGACACAATAATGTTCCAATGTCTTTTTTTCAACATCGGAAATCAATAAAGGCCTGTCATGCGACTAGCAATGCGCGTGCTGCCTGCAAATCCCTTTTGATGAGTGTCAGGTAGCCACAGGTTAGTGGAAATATTACCTCCCCTGAGACGAATAAATCCCAGTAATCTCTGCTCGCCTTATTGTTACCCAAGATATCAGTTCGTCATAGAACCACTAAACCACGCTAAACCATGCCATCATATCCAAGCAATGACCTGAAACGGCTCGTCTAGCGACAATGTAATGAATATTTCACACGTAATGGACATGTTTTTATTCGGCAAGATGGAAATTGAAGACATTAAACGAGTGTAACTGACTGTTAGAATGATAGACTCTAGTTTATAATGGATGTCTGGTAATAAGTGTTACCACCGAGAGGGAAAATACATCACATTTCAATAAAAGAAAGTACAATAAGTCTGAACATGCAATCAATATAATAACAATGAATGTTTAAAACCATAATGTGCTTGAAGACCAATAATCATTTCGGTTATGAGTATTTAATACAAAAAAATATAAGGATTAAACGATCAAGTAAAGGTGGCAATTCATAAATGAATTATCTTTGAGGGAAAGGTTGGTGATCTACAGCTGGCTGCATGAAATGTATAGAAAGTAAGATGGCCATTATTTTGATGGGCATGGCTAATGTTTTGACCTATATGATTTTTAATATGTATGATCTGAGAGTCTGTAATTGACTTATTATTGTGTCATTATTACATATTCGTTTTTACGTCTACAGTACATCACAACAATTCTAAATAAGAAAATGGCCAGAGCTGTCTGTGAAAGTGTGCTAACATTGAAAGATACTTAAATCTTGTGTACTCTGCCAAAGAAGAATGCTCGTTTCTGACTACATAACTACCCTTTTTTAAAGTTACATTTACCCTATGACCCTTCAATCAGTATAGCGTAATAAGAAAAAGACCCCCACCCCCGCCCACCCCGTTCTACTGACATTTATGTCAGTTTTATAATCGTATCTATATTTTTACTAGTCTTTACAATTTAACTATGGATCAAACTTAGGTTGAAGTTAAATTGGAATGAGCAGACATATTCCCA